ACCCTTGGGTTCCACAAGCACAGGCAAGAGCACACACATATGTGCAAATACCCATGCATGCATGCACACATACAAACACAAGATAAATAAATTTTAAAGACAGAAAATTCATGTAACGATAGAAAATATTGGCAAACACAGTTCTGATAAGGGGTTACAATTTAAAACACAAGGGATTCCAACCATTTAAGAAAACAGCCTATTCCAATAGTAAGCAAAGGACATGAAAGACCTACTATGGCCAACATGAAGATGAAAAACTGTTCACCATCAGGAAAATGCAAATTAAAGCTACAATGAAATATTACTTCCTATCTGCTTGTTAGAATAGCTACTATCAAAAAGATCAAAGATACCAACAGTCCCATGGAAACTAGCATAGCTGTCAAGAAATAGGATACATGGCCATTCTTCAAAGACTGAGGCAGAACTACTATTCACTCCTGCAATACAAAGAACTCTATGTCAAAGGGGTATGTGCACTGTGCTCATGACGACACTTCTCGTAGCATCCAGAGAGGTGATCACCTTCAGTGTCCATCAGGATGAATGCACAGGGTAGGGTTTTCTACAAGGTGGGTGAGCATGCAAGCAGGCACAGGAAACCCAGTCCACCAAGCCAGGGAAGAAGCGCTTCAGTCTCACACAGGGAAGAGATGTCCGGTTGGTCTAAGGCTACAAAGTTTCTAATAGGGAGATATTTCGAGGCCAGTGGCTTAATCCCAGCTCTCCAGAGGGAGAGGCAAGCAGACAGATCTCTTGAGGTCATGATCAGCCTGGTCTACATAGTGAGTTCCAGCACAGCCAGGGTTTTGTGGTCTGTATAGTGAGACTCTGTCTCAACAAAACAAAGTAATATTCAGCTTAGCTCTTCTAAACACACCAAAGAAGGAAAGTGTACACTACCAACCAGGGTCATTCCAGTGAAAACCTTCTACGCCCTTTGCAAAGTCCTTTCCACACTTCTTCACATGCCGCAAATACCGATAAGCCTCCAGAGTTCTTGCTCTGGTTAGCAGCCTTTACAATGCCATTAATTAATAATTAAAGAAGCAGCTCATTTAGTTTAAGGATTAATCGATCCCAAGAGTATTTCCACCATAAATATACTAATCAATAAATCCAGCCATAGTATTTTACGTAGTACTACAGGCAAGTGTGTGTGTACAGTCAGCCATGTACGTAAAGGGTCCCTAGCAGCTCAGACCCTTTTTTTCCTTGATATCCAATCATCCACAAGCATTTCTGGAAGTCTCCATGGCCACATAACTTTGCAACAGGCTATAACTGTATCACTTTCCTTCTGAGTCAATCACCCATGGAAAGCAATGAACAGTCCTCCAGAGAGGAAACTGACTTCATTTTCTCTGTGCGAGTATCATCCTAATTTATCTGAACCACAAGGCCTTTTCACTCCTTAACAAGCTGGGACTTCTAAGAGTCCTGCCATTAAGGCCTTTTCCATCTGTTTTGTGTCTGCTAACCTTGAAGTAAAACACCAGTATTCATATCTAAAAATCAAAAACACTGTCATAAACTCACTTAGTGCCACACATTCACAAACCCAGGCACTTCTGTCTCTCACTGTCTCTCTCTTCTGGTTGTGGGTTGTCTGTTTTTGAGGCAGGGACTCCCATAGCCCAGACTGGCTTTAGAACCAAATGTCGGCCTTGCTCCTCGAGTTTACACTTCTCAAGTGCTGGAACTGCAGGTCTGAACCATCCGGCCCAGTCACTATTTGTGCACTCAAAGAAATGACAAGTACCTGACAACTGATCACACAAACCAACGGTATGCCATTATTCCCAGAATCAACCTGGCACATTTCCTCCACTGCCTATACCTTTACTTTGCTGTCAAACTACCAAAATCATAGCCCTAGAAAAGCTTCTAAAATAAAGAAAACCTTAAAAGTTTACTAATGAAATTCAGTGATATTTAACAATATCTTAATACTGAGAAAATTCACACTAATTAAAACACATTCTGAAGTTTAAAAAGTCCCAATTTTGAGATGTAAAGTTAACTATTAATAAGCAAAAGGCCAGAACCTATTAAGCAAATAATTTTCAACCATATCATGATAAAGTTTTGCAAATCTTACGGGAGAAACATTGAAAATACTAATTCTTAATAGGGACCAAAGCAGAGGAAGAAATCTTAACTGCATATTAAAAAGTAGTTTCCTCACTCCTGTTGAAAAACATGAAGACACAGTAATACACAAAATGAACAGTCTTCCAAATAAGTCAACTGCTTATTTAAAAAATCTTAAAGCAAAAACTGAAGCCAAAAGTTAAAAACAAGGGCTGCCTAACTAGGCCTATACTTTCATTCACACGAATGTCTTTTCACAGGCTTCAAAATTTGATGTACGTATTAGTTTGCTTAATTGAGTAATATTCCCTTTTGCCTTACTTAAAACAGCTCTTAATGAATAACTCATGCATTATCACATTTCCGCCGTTTCAATTAAATCTATAATTTGATAAATGCAGAACTGGATAGTTTCGTGTGAATGCTTATTATTGATATTACGATCACATATCTATGTATGCCCACTTCGTTGTTTCTGTTTTTAATTAAGACCAGCATAGTGACAACATCAGAAATGGAAAGGACGTAAAAGGACAGGAATGGAGAGGAGGAGGGAAAGGAAGACGGGAAGGGGAGGACTCTACACTGTGAAGAGACACAGCACACAACTTGAATGAGAGCATTCAAGTGTGACTCTTGCTCTCGTTTTTAACTCTCAACCTGCTTTGTCAGGAAGCCAAAAGTGACAGCCTCACTGACCTTAACTCTCTGCCTGGTTTCTGACCAGGGAAACACCTGCTAAGCGTGACCAATAAAAAGATTAGGAAAACCCTTCAGGAGGCAGTGCATCCCTGTAGATTCGGAGATCTAAACTAACATTAACTAAATCATCCCCTAAACCCGAAGAACTGGTGGCTGGTGTTTCCACTTGCAGACAGACATGACAGACAGACAGACAGACAGACAGACAGACGTATGCGTTTGCACACACACACACAAAGTCATTTGTATCTAAAACACTTCAAAATGGGACTATTTACTGGGTTTAAAAAAAAACAAAGGCCAGAGAAGTTAAGTTCAGCAAAAAAGCCTCAAGTAATGAATTCTCTTCTGTTCAACTGCTGACAATATTGAGAAAAGGAAGTAAGATGTTTTCAAACTGGTCGAGAAAGCTGAGCACTACTGAGGGCAGCTGAGCAAAGTGGTGGGTCCCGAACAGAGTCAGGACACCAGGCTCCTAGCTCCAACTGGTTCGCTAACAGCTGTCTGACCTTGGACAAGTCTCTGGACTTCAGTCAGCTTGTCTACAAAATGTCTACGGAAAATCACAGATGAGATCAAAGGACAATTTAATCTGAGTTTTACTTTAGAGAGGCAGCCCAAAGTAGTGCTTGATAAAATAACTCCATAGGAACTACCAACAGTGGAACACTACCAAGCTCTGCCACTACCAAGCCAATGTGCTGTACACACACAGACACACACTGCAACAAAGGAAGGTTTACTACTGTGACCTGTTTAAAACACTTTACTGAAACTAAGCCGTATAAAAATACAGAAGCTTGGAATGAATGCTCCGTCTATCCAAACCAAGACAGTTACGCTGGCATTAGCTCACTATTTTCATCGTGAAAAGATCAAAACTCTAAAAAGTCCTATCAAAAGGACACGCCATACTACACAAACACAGGCAACTCTGAAAAGTTACTAACACTAATATAAGGCAGCTTCTCGCCGAAATATGAGAATAAAAGAAACTGACCTGCTATTTGCTTTTTTAAATATACAGCTAATGACAAGTTACGGTAGACCACATTCTGTGACAATGAAGGTAGCCAGAAAACTAAAAATAAAATGTAGAACTGGGAGAAACTGGGAAACGTGAGGTGAACTTCTAACAACTAGAAACGCGTGGTTCCTTAGTTAACAGTCAGTGCGGCATATATGCCAGGCTCAGGACACAGACGACAAACGAAGCTGCTGCTTCTTAGTTAGCCAAGTTCCAAAGGCTTGGAAAGTTCAGTGTGTCCTAGTGTACCGTCGCTCAGAGCACAGTAAAAGCCACTTGTCTCAAATATTTTCTTTCCCTTTCAGGCCAGTGTAGGACTGCTTCCCAGTGATCACTAACGCTGCTTCTGACCCTCACAGCAGCTCACAAGAATGCCCACACCTGTTCCTGACATCGGGATCCTCACAGAACATCAAGTGCGCACGGTCCTAGGGTTTCCCTACACCCACAGCGTCAGCCGTCCACACCTGCACGGACCCTTCGCACAGCCATGTCACCTCCGGCCACTAACCGAGCAGCCCCGAGTAAGTCCTACCCCGTAAGGTTTTGCCACTGCAGGCAAACTCTACTTCTTCAAAGTGGGCAACTGAGAAAAGGGAAACCGATTGGTCCATCGCCGCTGCCCTACTTCCATTTCGGGACACAGGAGAAAAACTGTTCCGAGGTGGGTCATGAAGGTGGACGCACGGCCAACTGAACTTTGGGACCGGGGCACCGGCTGCGGGAACGCGACGGGATGCGGGGGCCGAGGCGGAGGGCGCGAGGCCGGCGAGTCGAGGCGGCTGCAGGCAGAGCGGCTCGGGCCGGCTGCCCCCGGCAGGATGCTGGCCCAGCCCGGGGAGGCCGAGCGGGCCCGGTAGCCCGGGGACGCGGACCGGGCGAAGGCCGGCCTCGGGCACCGGGACGCGGCGGGGGACACCGCGGCGGCCGCCTCGGGGCAGCGGGGCGCGGGCGCCGGGAGGCAGCGGCGGCCGGAGGAGGTGGAACTCTGCCGAGTCAGCACCGCGCCCACTCGGGGGCACTTGTGGGAGCCGGCGGCCGCCCGGGAGGGCCGGGTCGAGCCGGGTCCGGTGGAGCCGCCGAGCGGGTCGGGCCCAGCGCCGGCGTCGGTGCCGCTCGCCCGCCCGCCCGCCCGCCCGCCCGCCTCTCAGGTAAACAGTGGGGCGCCGCTTACCTCTGTTAACATCATTCCACCCCGGGGGAGTGAGGTCCTCCCTAACCTCGCCGCATGGCAGCAGCCGTCGCAGCAGCGGAAACGACCCGGGTCGCCGCCAACGGCGGCAACTGCTGCTTCAGTCCCGTCCCGGGCGGCGGCTGGACTCGGCTCCGCTGGCTTCCCCCCGGACGGGCCGCTCGCGACGGACGCGCCGCCATCTTGGAAGAGCGACGTCCGCGTCTCCCCGCGACGTGCGCTCCTATTGGCCGGCGCGCCGGGCGCGGGCGTCTTGTGACCGTCTCCATGGCGCCGGCGCGCGCAGGGGCGGAGGCGGCGGGCGCTGGGCCGCACGCGACCGGGGTGCTGGGCGGCCGGCGGGGTCGGGGATCCCGGGGGAGGCAGGGACGCGGACGGGGGTCGCGGCGGAGGGAAGTCCATCGCGCACGTCCCCCCGACGCCGCCGAGGAGAGCCGAGGGCGCTCGGGACACGCTCGGGACGGCGCCTCCGGGCGCGGGGACCTGAAACTGCAGCCGCCCCCGCCCGCCCGCGCCGCGCTGCTCCCCGAAACTTGGGCAGAAACTTGTCGCCCTACCTCCCCAGCGCTCCGGATCGAGTCGTCCGCTGGGCGAGCGACAGGTTGTCGGTGTGATCCCGGGCGGATCGTCTTCTTCACCCCGATCCTGGCACAGTTAGGGCTACTGCCTCGCTGATTGGCCAGAAGCTGCTGGAGCTCGCAGGCTTAGGGTTTCTCCCATAGAGACTCTTAAAAACCAAGCGGCTTTTGCCCGGCAGCTGCAGTCTCCATAGCATTATTGGGGTTTATTTTTAAAGTTGTATATAATTTATATAATGTGTTTATCTGCCCGAAGAAACGGGGTCAATAGATGTCTCTGTCGGTAGTCCCGAAGTGAATGAGAGCTGCTGAGACCAGGACACCTCTCTCAGTCCACCTGTAAGGTGAATTACAGTAAAACAGCGCCCGCTTCTTCCTGACTGGCTATGAAGGAGTTTTCCTGAAGAACCTCGGCCATTACCAACGAATTTGCAAGGAAACCGAGAAGTGTTTGGACTTGGGAAATAAAGCACTTGCGTCGCGTTCTCACAAAAGGTTTATTATAAAAGGGATTGTGGAAAACTAAAGCCAGCACTTACTTCCTGTGTACTGGAATCTTTGCCCTTAACAATGGTACTATTGTGCTAAATGTAATTTAAGGATGTGCTCGTAAATTCTAACAGCGAGGAAAGCAACTGCAATACAAACCCTGTATCTCCTTCGCTTGTGTCCACCCGAAGAAAAATTGATTTAAGCAATCATGTACTTTAAAAAAAAAAAAAACTGCTCCATTTAAAGTAGTAGCAAAGAAGTTTTTGTTTTACTCTGCAACTTATAGCTAATTTCTCCTTTGCTGGAACAAGGACATTCTAACTTCTGCAACACAATAAAATATATTTCCGGTAGTGACAGGTTAATCTATAAATGGGAAGCAAGATTGAAAACTACAAACTGCATTGATATTAAGAGAAACCAAGAGAAGGGATGACAAGGAACCTGGAAGAAGATACTGTTCCAACCTGTAAATAAGAATGCAGAAGGTTCATTAATGTTTAAAATAGCAACTAGTGAATTAAAACTTTAATTCAGGTGTCTGGCCTGAGTAGTGTGTTCTGTTTTTCCTTCGTTTTCCCTTCCTAGAAGCAAGATTCTGTCACTTGGTAGGAAGGAGCTTTTCTTTTCTTTTTATTTTTTTGGTTTGGTTTGAAACAGGGTTCTCTGTGTAGCCCTGGACCCTGGCTGTCCTTGAACTTGCTCTGAAGACCAGGTTGGCGTTGGACACAGAGACCTCTCTGCCTCTGCCACTGCCTCCTGAGTGCTGGAATTAAAGGTGTGCTCCACCATCACCAGGCTGTTTTCACTTTTTTAAAAAGTAGTAAATTAGGAGCCCTCAATGAGCACACGCAAAGCCGGGGGTTAACTCCCCAGCAGCACAGAAATCAGGTGTCTTAATAGTTGTCTGTGATCCCAGCTCTTGGGCTGTAGAACCTGGAGAGTTGGAAATTCAGGGTTAATGTTAATTTAAAAACAAATAAGGCAAGTTCAAGGCTATCCCAGGATAAATGAGAGCCCGTGTGACTAGAGAGGAGTAGAAATTTGAGTGTGGGCATGCCATTAGCATCCAGAACTTTGTAAGTCTGGGAACAAATCATAATTCCCAGCCCTTCCAATCTAATTTCCCAGCCAGAATCTTTTAATATGACCTAAAAATTCCTGTGCTGATTGGCATCCCGGCCTCCACCTACCCCCTACCCCCCAACATCTTCCACACAACTGTTTCTATTAGGCACTTTGTTCTAGCTACACAAGGCCGATTTCCTGCTCCTATAATAACTGGGTATCCTAGTGCCCAAAACCCTGGCACAATGAACTCTATCCGGAAGAATCTTACCAAATACCAGCAGAGACACCTTTGCCTCCCATCTAAAATGTTGCCCCTTCCGTACCATATTTTCCTCTTTGCTCTGGTCTCTTTTTCATGGTAGCTGTGCTTGCGAGTTTCTTATTTTCTGTCTCCTAGTAGAATGCAAGCTTCGAGGAATCAGGAATTTCTCCTATGTTCTGTGATCTCTCCTTAGAGCGCCAAGTGCTGGACGGGTTAGTATGTGGCACAGAGCGGATGCTCAATGATTCTTAAATGAACAGTGACCTCAGCAAAACACCCTAGTGAAAACCAGAAACAATCCCTTTGTGTTGAAAATTAAACTACTTAAAAACTAAGGTTGCACATTCTTATTTTGCAATTATGAACTATATCTCTAGATGTCTTGTTACTCTTTGATAGAGTCTCAGTGTGTTCCTCTAGCTGACCATGAACTCACTCTCTAAGCCGGGGTGACCTTGAATTTTCAGTCCTGCCTCAGCTCCTGAGCAGCTAGGATTACTAGCCTGTCCAACAAAGCCTGCTTTCTCTTGACTGTCTTACACATATGTTGGATGTGTGTCAATTTACTAGCAAGGAAAGCAATCAAGTAAAATACATCATTGCAGAAAGTTATGGAAATTGAGTTATGTAGCTGGAAAAGAAAATGCTTACAGAAGCAAGTAACTTAAAAATCTAAACAAAGTAAGCCCTGGTTTAGAAAGGGTCACAACTTCTTTCCGCGTAGCCTCAAGGACATCCTATTCCTATCAGCTGCTTGGAGGAAACCTGAGGCTGGAGGATGCTGGACTGGTGATAAGAAATTTAATACAAAACAAGCTTTCTTAAGAAGCACATGACCCTGTGAAAAGGCTGGTCCCACAGCTTTGTGGATCTATCTGCCTGGTGAACCCTGGAGAGGATATCACAGAAGAGGGGCTAGGCGAGTTAAGCCCTAGATACTTATAACAGAGCCCCGACCTTGATGTCAAAGCCTTCAGAGACTGAGAATGTCCATTGCCAATTTCTTTGGTTTTCAAACAAAAACTATCTCTACATATTGAGCTCCCCACAAATTGGATCTAATTTCATTTTGAGAAACTGAAAAAGCATATGTCATTTACTTCCCAAATGAATTGCATCTCTCCAGCAATTTTCATGTTTACATTTTAGCATCATAGGCCAATTTTAGTTCTATTTCTAACTCACAATGATACAGACTCACAGTGTACAATGTAGTGCTGTGATACATGTATTCACTTAAAAATAAAATTAGCAAAATTGTATCTTGTATTATCTTCATGTTGAAACCTTCAATATCCTCACTTTTAACAAATTTGAAACAAGTTATACACTGTTGGTGTACATGGTCCTGTCCTGAGCATTGAGTCTTAAACTTTAACAAAATCCAGAAACAAAACCAGAAAGCAGAACTGGAGTAACATACTGGCCACAGCCATCCATTCTAAGAACAGACAATAGGGCATCCGCATTCTGCTCGATGTTAGTAGGATAATTCAAATCAGGCAAGCTTTGAAAAGCCCAGGATATCCTTTCCTTGTTGAGGATATACTGACCCGGATCATTAAGACAGAAATAATATGGGGGCTTCTGCTACCAGCACACAGAACCCCAAAATGATAATGTTCATTTATCTCTGCAATAATAGCTGTAAAATAAAATTACACTAAGATCTTTATAGAAGCACGTACTTCGAATATGTAAAAGCTGGTACCTTAGTAGTATAAGAATAGTGTTCCAATCGATAGTTTTATAAACAAATACTTTGGCCGAGCGTTGTCTCAATGGATAAAACAATTGTCATGTGACCCCTAGGCCCTGAGTTCTGACCACCAAGAACACCATAACCCTGTCTCTCCTCCAGGGAGAAGAAGTTTGAAGGCCAGCTTGTCTGGTCTCTGCAACAGAAAAATACCAGAGACTGCCTCCAATAAAGTAGAAGGCAAGGATTGCCACCTGCGGTCCTCTGCCCACACGTGTGCCCTAGCACATGCATGCCGCCCACACACACATTATGCAAACACAAGATTTTGCTTTGTGAATTAAAACCACAAAAGTTAGATGGAGACAACTTTTCAACATTTTGTTCTTATTTACAGAAACTTTTCTTTGGTGCCTTTTAGTGCAGGCATTGTAGCAGGCAGGGAGCTTCTGAAGGAGGCCTGGCAGATCCAGGTTTCAGGGTCGCTTACCAAGAGCACACAGACCTCACTGGAGCGGATGTGTGTGTTGGTGAGGGGCTTGCACCTCCATACTCTGCCCCTAAGGAGGAAGTCACAATGCACAGTCCATTCCTAGAAGATGGAAACATGGGCCACTGCTCATCTCTGGGGACAGCGCACTAACAGATTGCGTGGAATTCTTTCCTGTGAGAGATTTGCCACTTCTCTATTTGGAAAAACTAGCTGGTTTGACAGTCTCACACGTGAGTTTTAGTCACTTGCGTCCTTCTTTCGTCCTCTCTCCTCTCCCGCTGAGACCCCTCTTCCAGCAGTTTACCCTCACTCACTTCCATGTCTGCGTTTGCATCCATCTTGCCCAATTGTGGGTGGGACATCGCCTATAGGAGCAAAGGGAGCATCACATTACTTACATGGGTTCGGGTACATAGATACTTCTTTTATACTGCTACTTATAATCCAATACTAGTTTATAGTTCTCATCCTCTGCTTTTTATCCAGTGGAATGCATCTGGCTGCCTTTTGTCCCTTTGTGTGTATGTTCCTATCAGTGTGGGAAGAGGTGTTTTTGTGGTTCTTTGGTTTTTTGTTTGTTTTGTTGTTATTTGGTTGGTTGGTTGGTTGGTTGGTTGGTTTTCCTTTTGGCTACTTCCTCTACTTCTGGTCACATGGGCTGAAACTGGTTCTTCCTTGGCCTAACCTACAATCAGAGAAACCTCGGTTCCGTTTATTGGGAAATAATACTAGAAACAAGACCTGGACTCTAGAAGTGATGTTTGCTGCTTGGGCAAACATTATAGACTAGTGAAGTGCACATGGTGTCTATCTGTCTATGTGTTGCTTTCATTGGTTGAATAAAGAAACTGCCTTGGCCTTTTGATAGGGCAGCACTTAGATAGGCAGAGTAGACAGAACTGAATGCCGGGAAGAAGGGCAGACGGA